CCCGCCTGGACAAAGGCAAGGGGAAACTGCACGAGGGTGATGCCCGTCACCAAATCAACACGGCTCACGAAGCCCGCTTGCAGACACAGGGAGCCACCATGGCGGCCAAAGACCCCAGGGACGAGGTGATTGCCCAACTCGAGCGAAGGCTCGCCCAGATGGAGGCCAAACAGCTGGCCGCCACGACCACCGGCAACTCATCCAGGGATCTCAGTTTCAACGCCCTTCTGAACATGGTCACCATCCTTGAGAGGGAGTTGGCCGAAGGATGATGAGACCCACCATGTCCAAGTACTCCGTGATGAACGGATGAATGGGAAATCTAAGCCCCTTGGCAAAGCTCATGGGGTATACTCCAAAGTACCCCGGTGGTGGATTCAGTACGTGGTCCGTCGGCTTGGGGGCCCTAACCCTTCCATACGGCCCCACATACATTCCGGCCACCAGGTAATCAGCCGCGCTGCTCTCCGGCTTGATCAAATAAATGTTCGTGAGGTCCAGGTAGGAGTAAACTGGACCCTTCTTCGGCCGACGCCTTCTCGTCGGGGCAGTCCCCTTCACAGCAGAAACCGGCTTCGGGAAGGGAATTGCAGCTGAGGTAGATGCTCCGTCCACGGCGCGGAAGACCACTACATCCTCACCATCAGACGACGAGACGACCTCTTCGTCTTCACCTTCGCTACCCTCCTGCTCCCATGACTTGAAGGAGCTCAGGTCCTCTATCTCCTCGCAACACTCCTCTACTACCCGGTAATCAAGGGATTTAACGGAGGGCTTATCATCATAAGGGTAGTATTCGTCGTTCAAAGGTTTCATCATAACAACTAGCTAAGGCTTTAAGGGGATTACCTTGGATCTAAGGGTGATTCTCCACTAACACTAGATCAAGGCCCTAGGAAAGCAAAGTATGTAATAAATCGGAAGAAAGCGTGATGAACTGACCTTTGAAGATATGAAGTTTTGAGGAACACTCGAACAACCTTTATTTCTCTAGAAAATTTGGCACACTTCGTTATCTTGAGAATGCAATGGGGAGCCTCTTCGGAGGGAGGGGGGTATTTATAGACCTCCCCCCCCTAACGGTCACTACACATGGCATCCATCCATTGGCCACGTGAATGGCCACCACCCCACAGGCCCATTGGGCTGGCACCGGTTCAAAGGACGGGTCAGGCCCACTTCCATCAGTACCAGTCCATCACTAACGTGACTGTAATCAACGTCCACAACGGCCACACTAGGGAAGCCCACCTACATCGGCCTCAACAAAGATGACTTCAAAAGGGTAGGTCACACCAGAAGGTGTGCCCATATCGGCCCAAACAAGAATACCAATAGCATGGCCCTTTCAACGGCCACAACAGCAAAGCAAAAAGCAACCCCACAGCCATCGACCTTGTACAAAACCTTGATGATAATTTCTTGAAAGCGACCTGCGTCCAAGGGTTCTCTCACAGGGTTACCTTGGTCAGGAAATCGCCAAGGAGTTGGATTCAGGGGAATACAAGAATCCCGCTTCGGCCTAGGGGAATCCTTTACTCCTTCACCCCTCGCTTACTCTTCGGCCTGAAGCAGTGGGGGATTGGAGGACTACACCGGCCTTTGGAAATCAAGAGGACAAAATCAAAGAAATCCAAAAATATACTAAGTCCACAACTACAACATCAGATCATATATGCACCACAACGTCCATAACCTTGTGGTGCACCATCGGCCGCAGCTAAGTCAGCAAACAAAGAATTCCTTCCAAAGATGCAACACCTAAGATCACAGGGCACTCAACGGCTTTGAAACCGCATACTCCACTCTCGGCCAGGAATTAAAACAGGAACTCAACGTCCTTAGATCATCGTTGTCCACGAGACCATGATATGCAATACTCCTTCTGGATCAGTGGCGCTATCGTCCTAAAAACATGGACACCAAGCTACGAATACCACCACTCCTCGGCCAAAAGCACAGGCTGAGAACTACGACGGCCAAAGAAAGCAAACAGCGCCCTCACCGGCCACTCGGAAACGAAAGGACACCCGTCGTCCCCAATACAGGAGATAACCACAACGGTCTCCTCGGCCCAGAGTACGAAATTCGATCATCAATGGTCAGGAGTAAGGAAGCACCGTCTTCATCGGCCACTCAAGATAGAGAACGTTCATCATCTCCACCAAGCAGAGGTAATCGTTGTGCTCAACAGGAAACAACATCATCCGCATGGCTAGGGCCCTCTTCGTCCGCAGCAAGGGCCACACAACGGCCAGAACGTAGAGCACCCGTAACAAGGAAAAATCAAGGACCAAAGCACAGGGTGCCCGTAACAGCCAAGACTCCATAGCGGCCTACAATGGCCAAGAAATGTCAACGCCAGGGAATCAACTCTCCTTCACTTCGTCTACATCTCAGCTCAGAGAGTGGGGGACTCCTAATGGAGTATATGGGCCTGGACCCCAGGGCCCACATACTCAGGAGAACAGAAGGTACCACGATCACCTGGTGGGACCCTCGTCGGCCAGATGACCTCCATCGGCCAGAAAGAAGTCTACTCAGAATATGACCCAGAGGCCAGGAGAGCCGGGTGACCTCGTCGGTCGGGTCTTCGTCGGCCATGCCCTCGTCGACCATGCCCTCGTCGGCCATAGACTGCCTCCAGAACAGGATTTTACACTTAATCTTTTCTATACACTGTATCCGGCCCATTAGTGGCCCTATTGTAAATGGGCCTCCCAAGCCCAAGACTTGGGAGCCCAGCCCTAATTTTCTCTATAAATACTCCTATGGGAGTAGTTATAAGAGTTGACAAAATCATTAATACAAAGCATTTACTGCACTTCTCTCTAGACTTATAGTCTATCAGTTAGTTATCCTTCACAAATTTTACGGTGCATTTGTCATATGTCAAAATCTTATTGGTAATAGTTTCCAAGTCAGCTTTGATTTTTAAAATGAAAGTGAATTGAAAACACGCCCACTTCTGCTGCGAAATTGCTTAGAACTCCTCCCGTCTAAAACTAAACGTCTAAACCTCCTCGTTACACCGCTTCAAGCACTAAGGAAGAAAACAAGTAATCTTAAGGTGAACATAATTCATAGCAACAGATCAAATCATAGCGACAGACTAAAAGAATCTGAGATCAATTTCTAGACACCATCTTTCTCAATTTCTGGCTTAAAACTCAGGTTTTGATTCCCGTTTTAGTTTTCTTAAAATTTATTATTCTCAGTTTTTCATCGATCCCATTTGTTCTCTTTTCCTGATGCGTAGATCGATGCGATTGCGCATTTGTCTCAAGAGCGTAGTGCGACGGCAGAGGGAAAGAGGGCGTACAAGATTTGTGCATTCTCCAAGGTTCACTATGCAATTTTTTAAATTTTTAAACGGAACTGCTTACCTGGAAGGTTGGAATCTCATCCAATTATATTTAGCCACGTCTGGAATGTACCAAAACATTCAATTACAAGAATGCACGGAGAGCTACCCCTCTTTTATACTCCCTCCGTCCCGAAAAAGTTGGCCAAATTTCCTTTTTTGGATGTCCCAAAAAGATTAGGGTGATTTACCAAAATACGGGAAAGTTCAACGTGGGTTGCCAGAATACGGGGAAAAATCTAGGGTTTCCCAATTTACGGGAGTCGGAATTCTTTCTTCCGACTAGTGGAAGGAATATATGGCTAAAATTAATTCTCTCCTCTGCACAAATTAAAGTAAGGAATATGTGGCTAAAATTAATACGGGAGTTTGGCGTCTGACAAGCCAAAAAACGAGAGTTCCAATTAGGTTACCAAAATACGGGAGTCGGATTCCGGAATTCCGACTGGAGGGAGGTTGCGTAAAGAGGAATGGAAAAATACAAAAAAACACCTAGTCAGAATTGGGGAATCCGACTAGGGGATTTGTGATTTTTTTATGAAATAAAGCCAACTTCCCTGTCGCCCTGTCGGAACTCCCTAATCCGGCCAGGGTTAAAATTTTAAAGTAAGGAATATGTGGCAAAAATTTCCTCAAAGCAAAGGTGATTTGTCATTTTCATTTAAAGTAAGGAATATGTGGCTAAAATTAATTCTCTATCCTCTGTACAAATTTCAACCAAACAATTTTTACTTTATTAATCCACGTCAAAGTCAACTTTGGCCAACCTTTTTCAGGACAGAGGGAGTATCTAATTAACTACTGTTAATATCAATGAACAGCGTAAAGATTTGGGTTGAATTGAGTTGAATATAATAAGTTTAGAGCATGTTTGCTAATATCAAAATCGGTTGAATCGACTAATTCAGTTGAAAATTATGAAATTCTGCTTGAAGTGGTTGAATTGGCTGATTCTGCTGATTTATGAAAACATTATAATGAAATTATGTTTTATTAATAAATTAAAGAAAAAATTATATTCATGGTATGTAAAAATAGCTAAAATGGTCATCTATATTAACTTTAGCTAACACAATCAGAAAAGTAACTTCAACTTTACTTTTTCTTATTATTACACAATTCAGTGCGCGAAATCAAAAGTTACGTGTTTGATGAAAAAATTGTAGATAAGCCTGATAAGCCAAAAATAGTGTTTCCAAACGGCCTCTTGCTATGATTAAAGTTGGTTGAGTGAATAGCAAAAAAACTACACTAAAATTTCCAATAAATCAAAAACTTAATTAAGTTAGTCTATGCTTCAACTAGCCTACTACACTCATAGTGAAGATCAACTTCTCAATACGATTAACATAGATGTACTCCCTCCGTCCCCGAAACAAGTTACCTGTTTGACTTCACACATATTAAGAAAATAAATTTGACTTTACTGTGGAGTGCATTGTTTTGCACTGTTCAAACACTGTTTGGCACTGTTTTGCACTGTTCAAACACTGTTTGGCACTGTTTGACACTGTTTTGATGTAGATAATTAGCCAAATAAGGAAAGTAAGGAAGTGTGAACTTAATTTAAGGACTGCCCAAAAAGGAAAGTGGTATCTTAATTGCGGGACGGAGGGAGGGAGTATAAGATACGCACCACAAAGTCAATATTAACCGCGCTGAAGTAATCCGATAAAACGTAAACGGTGGCACTGTACACGGTGCCATCTTTAGCCGCCGTGCTATCAAAGACTATGGTGGGCCGATTAGCCGGATCACCGTACAAGGTGATGAATGGCTTGTCCCTTTCTATCTTCACTCTCTCCTTGTAGGTCCCGCCAGCCAACGAAATGATAACTCGTTGTGTGTTTCCGGCGGGTACGCTATGGATGGCATCGGAAATGGTCTTGAATTTCCCTTTTCCGTCGCTACTGACCTTAATGTGAGAGACGTTGGCCTCGGCCTTGACGAGGCCGGGATCGAGGTCCTTTCTGGATGCGAGGGGCTTGACGTTGGCAGTGAACCAAGTGTTCACTTGATCCTTAGTCGGAGGGATCGGGACGTTGTCGTCCGAGACAACACTGGTCGGACACAACAGAAGAGGAAGAAGCAGAAGAATTGATGAAGGGATTGATATTTTCTCCTTTGCATGCAATGTCATGTTCATGTATTTTGCATGCATGTGGTGTATGTATATGAGTGCACAACTCAAAGTGCGGCGGGGGATAAGACGTTGGTTTAGGAATGCATTTACCAAGCCATGCAAGGGTTATATATGTATTATGAAAAAGTTATGTACTACCTCCCTTCTCTTTTAATTTTTAAACGCAGCATTGGACTTTTTACGCTATTTATGTATTGTACTTTGACTCTATTTTATTTATTAATGTATTACTGCAAATCTGAATTTAAAAAAATAAATTTTCAATTTTAAATTTGATTGAAAAAATAAATTTTAAATCTGAATTTTTTAATTTTTTACTAAATTAAAAAAAAAAATCTGAATTAAATTTTCAAATCTGAATTTTTTAATTTTTTACTAATAAGGAATGAAAGGTATTAATAATCAAACTTGTGAGTTAACAAACGCGAAAAATGTACCATTGCAATTAAAAAAATGGAGGATGCATTATTATTACAATATTGGTGAAAATAAACAAATTGCTTTATTAGTTTGCATGGATCAGTCACGATTTACTTTGGTTATTCTTGTTCTAATAACATACTCCCTCCGTTCTATTATTATTAAAATATTTTCATAAAAGTATAAAATTTATAAATTATATGAAAACATTATAACTAAAATTATTGTCCAAAGTTGCCATCATTGACAAAGAAAAGTCAATATGACGAACTTTTTCGGGACGAAGGTAGTATTGAACTTTAATTTAGAGAAGAGGTGGAGACGGTCGTTGATTTGTGTACAACCGCCCCGCCGTATGACCAAGTGACGTCACTCGCAAGTCAACGTGTCTTAATCATACAAGACGTCCATGAACATAATATATTCATACTCAGTAGTAAACATACACAACAACATGACAGTTTAGATTAATTGAATAGCGGAAATATTCAGCAATTAATCGTGGGCCACACATGACCAAAACGTAGGCTCGCAGGCCAAAACAATGTATTAATACAAAAGTATCCATGAGCATAGTTTATTTTTTGAAATAGTAGAGGGAGCACGAACCACGTCTTCCCCTGGATTTTCTTCACCCGTGCAAAGGTGTAGATGACAAGTCTTAACTTCAACCTGAAATGGTGGGGCCCCCTGAAGGGGATAGTACCGGTCCCGGGCCGTTTCTGGGTCAGGCCACCCGGCCCGAGTCCAAGTCAACTTGGAACAGACAATTGTCCCGTCCCATTAAGGTCCTCCCAAATTATTTGACACGTCATGATGTGGTGTGTCCACGTGTTGTACCAAGCGTCAGTTCATATAAATGGGATCATCCCACGGTGAGCATCATGCTCCAGCCCCAAAACGACGTAGCTTTGCACAAGTTTTTTTTTTAAAAAATCACGTGAACAGTACACGCATGTACAATAATTGTTTTTTTTTCTTTTTATCCAGATAGTATGAATGATGTAACTCGTGTGTAAAGAAATGTAGCTCATGCTGATAAAAAATGTAACTGCATGCAAGTCTAAAGTAACTTGTCTAATACGGATTATAAGAAATAAAACATTAATTTCAATGAAAATAAGAAATCTAATTGCTCAATTACTTTACGTAAATAGTGAATATGTTTTGTTTTTCATATTAAGACCACAAATAATGTTTTTTTCTTAAGATCATTTATTTTGCCAAAAAAGTGATTTTTTTTTTGTTTCAATAGAAGGAGATTACTTAAATAGTGAATATGTTCTGATTTTTATATCAAGGCCATAAAAATATTTTTTTGAAATCGTTTTTTTTTGCCTAAAAAATCATTTTTTGTAAAAAAATTACTTTTTTGCATAAAACTGATTCTTTTGTTTGAATATCAGTGCTTTGTGATGTGATCTAACTCATGTTATAGAAAATGTAACTCGCGTTGATGGAAATCTAACTTAGGGGTATGCAAAAAATAATTTGTTAAGGCAAGTGTAAATGTAACTCGCGTATAAGAAGATGTAACTCACACATAAAAATATGTAACTCGCGCATAAGAAGATGTAAATCCATATACTATCAAATGTAAAGAATGAAAACAAGGAATCGAATTGCTCAAATTAATTTACGTAAATAGTTAATATGTTATTATTTTAGTATTGAGGCCATAAAAATGTTTCAAAGAAAAACAATTTTTTGCCAAAAAATTGAATTTTTTTGGCAAAAAAAATCATTTTTGTTTTGCAAAAAATTGATTTTTTTTTTGTTTCAATAGTTGCGGTTTATTTTGTGATGAAATACATGTTATGAAAAAGTGTAACTCGTATTGATGGAAGATCTAACTTATGTGTATGCAAAATGTAACTTGTTAAGGCAAATCAAAAAATTTCAATTGAAGATAAAAATAAGTAGAAAGCATGTATGATTACGAAATACAATATACTTATTTTATGTGGATTAATAAAATTTTGTAATAATTTGATAAAGAAAAAAAATATAAATTCATTTATATTTTAATTAGTTAAAGATACAGATAAGTAAAATCATAAAATAATTTTTAGTATTTTGATGTTAAAGAGAAAAGAATTGAAGAAAATAGAAAAGAAAAATAAAGAGAAAGAAAGTATTGACATGGAGGAAAAAGAGAGAAGGCTTCCGTAATATTGTACATTTGAACCGTTGGAAGCATGGGGAGAGCAAAAAAAAACGGCACCGTATTAGAACCGTCATACCATGTGCATGGTATGCCGGTTGCACGGTATAATTTGAGACCAAGTGTTGGCATGTCCTTTGGCACATCCGACTCGTTGAGTATGTTACTAACAGAAGCAGCTAGCTAGTAGTGTCACGCCCCAGACCGCATCATGGCGCGTGTACAACCGTCGTATGACCAAGTGACGTCACTCGCAAATCAACGTGTCTTAATCATACAAGGCGTCCATGAACATAATATATCCATACTCAGTAGTAAACATACACACCAACATCACAGTTTAGATTAATTGAATAGCGGAAATATTCAACAATTAATCATGCACCACACATGGCCAAAACGTAGGCTCGCAAGCCAAAACAATGTATTAATACAAAAGTATCCATGAGCATAGTTTATTTTTTGAAATAGTAGAGGGAGCACGAACCACGTCTTCCTCTGGATTCTCTTCACCCGTGCAAAGGTGTAGATGACAAGCCTTAACTTCAACCTGAAATGGTGCCCCCCCCCCCCCCCCCCCCGAAGGGGTCAGTACAAGTACCGAGCGAGTAGCAGGCTAAATATAGAATATCTAACGTTTCAAGTATAAGACCCAAACATAGGGTGATACTTTTGTAAATAGTCTTTTCCCCCAAGTTAAGAAATACTTAGTAGTACATATACACTTGGAAAATACCCGATCCGTAGATCACCGTTTTATTTGGGAAAATATTAATAGTCAATATCCTTGACTAAAAACCTCAACCCACCCATATGCCTATGAGTGTATAGGACTCCTCCTTGTCCATACTTCAATATCATAATCTATGAGTTTTAAGGATCAAAATCCTTGGGTACTCCACCAAATTTGTATTTGAGTGTTAAGGACTTTTAGTCCTAGGGTCCTCCACAAATTTATTATCCGAGTGCTAAGGACTTTAAGTCCTAGGGTCCTCCACCAATTTATAATCCGAGTGTTAAGGACTTTAAGTCCTAGGGTCCTCCACCAAAATATGAGTGTTAAGGACTTTTAAGTCCTAGGGTCCTCCACCAAAATATGAGTGTTAAGGACTTTTAAGTTCTAGGGTCCTCCACCAAAATATGAGTGTTAAGGACTTTAAGTCCTAGGGTCCTCCACCGAATTATAATCCTATGATCAACCTCCTATCAACCTAGATAGGATCTATATCATATTTATTTATTCATAACTAAATCAATACATAAAGCTTATGTATCACAATCCATGCAAAGTCATGCGTTTATATAACTTCATAATTAACTAATACCATCCGGCACCAATTAATCCATTATCCATCGGTCAACGTTTTCGTTGACCGCCATTTCAAACCTTATACGTATCAACGTAATCATCATATAATTAAGTTAATAATGTTCACTTTTGCTCCTCTTACGCTTCAAACAAACATGCATTTTATATATTTCCTCATAACATATTTCATGCATAAACAATTAATTCCTTTCATACAAACTTAGCCATGTTGGCTAATCACATGTTTAAATACCTTTTAAACATAATTATGAACACATATAACATTTATTTAGGTAATCTCATAATTAACCCAAAAGTTATAAGATATTAAGCCGTCCACTCACCTTAAATGAGCTTTAGCGCGTTCTACGCTTCTCGGTTGGACTCTGGCGAAACTCCGGCGAAACTCCGGCGAACTCCGGCGAAACTCCGGCGAACTCTAGAAACACTTTATTTATGCTCCTAATATGGTTTTATCATCACAAAACTCATATCAATACAAATAACCCCTAAAAGGTTATTTTCCGGCGAACCGGTCGTTTTGGCTTCTAAGTCCATTCTTGGACTTAGAACTACCTTCCAACCCCTCATTCTACATTTCTAAATATGTAGAAAAAACCTAGGGGTTACTCATATGATGTACAATCCATATGATAAATGAAAATTAGAGGAAAAGTTATTAAAAGGTTATTACCTTAATATTCCACACTTTTCCTAACGTTTTCCTCCTTCAAGCTTTCTTTTTGGACTCCTATGGCTTGAGTTCGAATTATCTATGGAGGATGAGTATCTTGCAGAGCTTCTCCTCTCAAAAATTATGTGTTGGGCGAGCTAGATGATTAGGGATGAGAGAGGGTGGCTTGTTTTGTCTCAAATGACAAATTAATGGGGTGAGGGGTCCTCCATGGTACCTTTGATGCCAAAGCCCACTCCTCCACATATTTACTAGTCAACTCCAGCCTCCTGTGAACAATTTGAGCACACAAAAACGTGGGATGGCCCCCACTCATGTGGGAGGTCATCCCTTTGTGTCTCGATTTGTACAATCGGCTCCGAAAGTTGTATTTTTCGGACTGTTTAAATCATATTTTATTTTATCGGGTCAAATAAAATATATTTTGTGTTTCCCAGCATTATGGACTTTTGGAATGAGTATTCATTCCCCAAATTTAATTTAGACGTCCCC